AACTTCTTTGGTTATGGAGATATGTCTGATATTTATGTTTCCTGTAATAGTCTTTATCCTTTTATATTAGGTGGATGCTCAGAATTTCATTGTGATGATAATCCTGTGAGTCGTTCTGCTTACATAGCAGAGCTGGAAAAGTTTGGCATAACAGTCAAAGCACGAAACTGCCTAGTTTTTCAGGTAAGTAGCTGTAGTCGTTTATTGGATTCATAGTTCTGAAAGTACATCACTATATCTTTTATGTTGGTGTGCTTTACTTTTTTAAAAGGAAAGTGTAGAGTCGATTTCAATGAAAAAACCCAAAGAAAGAACCCAGTTCTTGGAGGAAATCAGCAGCTCGGGAGAACTAATGGGAGACTATGAGGAAAAGAAGAGAAAGTTACAAAAGGCTGAAGAGGATGCACAGTTTAATTTTAATAAGAAAAAAAGTGTAGCTGAAGAGTGCAAAGAAGCACAATTAGAGAAAGAAGAGGTAAGGCGTCATGAAGATGTAACCAAGTAAGTGTTAGATACCAAAACTTTTGGTCTGTTAGAGTTGCTAGGTATTGGATTCGGATTACCAAGAAGATTTCTTTAATAAGATAAGAAAAATAAAGCCCAATATTCAGTAAAGATAAACTTTTGGATATATCTTTCACTATTTGGGTTCTTAATCCCCAATAGGCAGGACAACCTGAACTACGAAAATGTCTGATTTTCTCAACTAAAAACACGCTTGATAGGTTTATATCTTATGTAGCAGAGGCTCTGAAACTTCTGGATCTTGACCCCCTTACACACTTAAAAACCACTGAGGACCACAAAGAATTTTTGTGCATGTGGATTTTATCTGCCGATCCTTATTGTATTTGAAATCCAAACTGGAAATTTTAAAAATAGATTTAATGGTCCATGTANTTTTTTTTTTTTTTTTTTGCTCCCCCCAAGTAGTGAGAACATGTGGTATTCAGCTATAAAAACGAATGAAATACTGCCATTTGCAACAACATGGATGGACCTTGAGAGAATAATATTGAGTGAAACGAGTCAGGCAGAGAAAAAGAAATACCACATGTTCATGAGTAATTTAAATATATCACCACTTTGTAACCTAGATATATTCATTGGCTAGTTTTCTCACTTTCTTTAGATTTTTAACTCAAAAGTTTCCATATCAGTACGGATTCCTTTGCTCACCCTATTTAAAATTGCAAAGCCTATCCCCCCAACACAGAAACTTTCATTCCACATTCCCAGCATATTTTACTCCTCAGCATTTACCACTTTCTCACATCCTATTTATTTGTATGGCATATCTTATTTTTGTTTGTCTTCCTGATTAGGATATAAGCTCCTTGAGATCAGAAATTTTTATCTGTTTTGTTCACCGCTGTAGAATAATCCTTGGCATATACGAGGGTCCTGCAAAAAGTTCATGGAAAGATTTGTATTATCTTTCAATTCTATTTTTCCATGAACTTTCTAAAGTACGCTCTTAATAGACAATCAGGATTTGTTAAATGCATTTATTAATATGTATATGATTATGTTATTGCATCACTGGCTGTTTCAATAACAAAAATAATTTTATTAAACTTCTTTGGTTATGGAGATATGTCTGATATTTATGTTTCCTGTAATAGTCTTTATCCTTTTATATTAGGTGGATGCTCAGAATTTCATTGTGATGATAATCCTGTGAGTCGTTCTGCTTACATAGCAGAGTTGGAAAAGATCGGCATAACAGTCAAAGCACGAAACTGCCTAGTTTTTCAGGTAAGTATCTGTAGTAGTTTATTGGATTCATAGTTCTGAAAATACATCACTATATTTTATATGTTGCTGTGCTTTACTGTTTTTAAAAGGAAAGTGTAGAGTCGATTTCAATGAAAAAACCCAAAGAAAGGACCCAGTTTTTTGAGGAAATCAGCAGCTCGGGAGAACTAATAGGAGAATATAAAGAAAAGAAGAGAAAGTTACAAAAAGCTGAAGAGGATGCACAGTTTAATTTTAATAAGAAAAAAAGTGTAGCTGAAGAGTACAAACAAGCCCAATTAGAGAAAGAAGAGGTAAGGTGTCATGAAGATGTAACCAAGTAAGTGTTAGATACCAAAACTTTTTGTCTGTTAGAGTTGCTAGGTATTGGCTTGTGATTACTAAGAAGATTTCTTTAACAATATAAGAAAAATAAAGCCCAATGTTCAGTAAGGATAAACTTTTGGATATATCTTTCACTATTTGGGTTCTTAATCCCAAATAGGCAGAACAACCTGAACTACGAAAATGTCTGATTTTCTCAACTAGAAACACGCTTGATAGGTTTATATCTTATGCAGCAGAGGCTCTGAAACTTCTGGATCTTGACCCCTTTTCACACTTATAAAGCACTGAGGACCACAAAGAGTTTTTGTGCATGTGGATTTTATCTACCGTTCCTTATTGTATTTGAAATCCAAACTGGAAATTTTAAAAATAGATTTAATGGTCCATGTAAAAAGCAGCAATAATAAACTTATTACATGTTAACATAAATAAGATTGTTATGAAAAATAACTACATTTTCCAAACAAATTAATTAGAAGAGCAACACAGTTTTACATTTTTATGGTCTCCTTAATGTCTGGCTTAATAGAAGACAGCTAACTTCTCCTAAATACTTAGCATTAAATCTTTTTTTGTGCTAAGGCGTAGCAGTTTTATCTACCATTGGTTTTTACATCATCAGTGCAAATGTCAACACACTGAAAAAGGCAAATGATGTCTTAGTATTATTATGAAAATAGTTTTGTCTTATGGGGTTCTCTAAAAGGGTCTTGGGGACCCCTAGGAAATCATGGCTGCACTTTTCAAATGCTGTGGTATTTCTTGGTGCCCTTCACAATGCCTAGTAGGAAGGGTCCTCATGAAGTTCATGGAAAGATTAGTATTATCTGTTAGCTCCATTTTCCCACGAACTTTGTGAAGTACTGTATAGTGCCTTGTCTATGGTTGGTAATAAAAAGGGACTTGGCGACCCCTAGGAAATCATGGCTGCACTTTAAAATGCTGTGGTATGTCTTGGTGCCCTTCACAATGCCTAGTACGAGGGGTCATGAATTGAGGGAAAGATTAGTATTATCTTTTAGTCCCATTTTTCCACAAACTTTGTGAAGTACTGTATAGTGCCTTGTCTATGGTTTGCAATCATTTGCATTTTAGAGTGATCTTATTCAAACGCAAATCAGATCTTGTCTTTCCCTTGCATGAAAGCTTCCAGGGCAGTGCTTCCCGCTGCACTGAGAATCTAGTCTCTTTCCTGCCTATTGATCTGGTCTCTATTCACCTCTCAAGCCTTAACTTCCTCTATTTTGCCACCCTATTGATCTTTCTTATTTGGTGAATACATCAAGCTCCCTTTTATCCTGGTGCTTTTGCTATTTCCTCTGCCTAGAGAGCTGTATGCCTGATTTTGCTTGGCTGGTTCTCTCCTTCAAGTCTTTATAAAAATGTCGTTTTCTTTTCTCAAGCAGGCATTTGCTGTCCACCACCCCCAGCCCCTGCCCCAATCTGAATTAGCTTCCCCTCTCTTGTATTGTCACATCAGCCTGTATTGTTTCGTTTCGACCATGTATTGCTGTATGAAATGATCTTGTTTATTATTTGTTTGTTTTCTGATTCCTCTTCCTCTACCCCGCCCCATTCAAATAACTGGAATATAAGCTTTACAAGAGCACGGACAGTCTGTCTAGTTCTTCACTATATTCTCAGCAGCACATAGAACAGGGCTTAGCACACAGTAGATACTCAATAAATATTTAAGGAAATAAATGAAAAGTGGATATGTTTCTTATTCGTGGTGTTTCTCAGTTTCTTCATAGTTTTTAAATGTGTATATGTGTCCGTTTTGTCAGTAAAAAGGGGTGGCAGCAGTGACAGTCAGACTGCAATAGTCACAGCGTAGTGAAATAACTTACAAAATTACAGAACTTGAAACAAGATAAGGAAAACTAGAATAGTCCAACTTCCTAATTTTTTACAACATCCTGGAGGATGACCCTTTAGTTGTTACTTCAAATTCTGCATTGATTAGGAGCTCTCCGCTTGAGGGAGTTCATTCCTTTATTTCTTTATTAATAGCATCAGTGTTAAGGAAATTGTTCCTCTTCACCTATAATTAAGAACTATAATAGTCCTATTAGTTCTATCAGTAGGAAAATCACTTCCTGTAGCAGGAATTTTGCCTGGATTCCTTGAATTTAAAGTTGCTAGGGACCATACAAGTTACATGATGCTCTTCCTTCAGTTTACAAATGAGGAGGCTGGTGGTAAACATGTTAATGGACTTGCCAAACTCCTCAAGACAGAAATGGGATTAGGAGCCGGGTTAGGGGTGCCACTCCATTGTTCTTACCACCGCACCACGGAGCGCATGGATACAAAATTAATGGTTTCCTGGTTTAATTTAGAAGTGTATTCAGCAACCTTCCCTAAATAATGCTATTTTGGGCAAGAATACTGTTTCTTAGTGACATATATGAAAATTAATTAGAGATCATTTATTGATACAGTAGTTGGGTTTATGAAAGGTCAGCTTAAATGTACTCACTTTTTACTGCTGTTGAATTGTACGGTTTTATAGGCCGAACGTTACCAGGGTCTTCTTGAAGAACTGAAAGTCAACAAGATACAACTACACCTTTTCCAACTATATCACAATGAGAAGAAAATTCATTTTCTGAATTCTGCGTTAGAGCGTGTGAATAGGGATTTGAGGGTCACAAAAGAGTCTCTTTCTCATCATGAAAACATAGTTAAAGCCATGAAAAAGGAACGTGGAATGCTAACCAGACAACTACAACAAACAGAAAAAGAAGTAAAGTGAGTTTTTAAAAATAGGTAATAATAGCTGTGTTTTATGTAGATCAATAGAAAATAAAAAGTAAATGAGACTTTGAAAGTTGACTTTTTAAAATAAGCTTTTTACTTTGGAATACTTTTAAATATATGGAAAAATTGTAAAGATAGTGCAGAATTCCCCACCAAGTCTCTCAAGTTATTAACATCTTAGTGTGATATATTTGTCAGAATTAATAAACCAGTATTGGCCCATTACTATTAACTTAAGTTCATGCATATTTTCTTAGTTTTTGCCTAATGTCCTTTTTATGATCCAGAATACCATGTTACATTTAGTTGTCTCTCTCCTTAGGATTCTCTCAGCTATGACAGTTTCTCAGATTTTCTTGTTTTGGATGCCCTTGACAGTTTTAAGTATCGGTCTGGTTTTTTGCAGAATGTTCCTCAGTCGGGATTTGTCTGATACTTTTCTTATAATTAGACAGGGGTTGTGGGATTTGGGGAGGAAGACCACAGAAATAAAATGCCATTCTCATCATAAGGCATCAGGATGTTAACATGTGATATATGTCATAGGATATATCACATCCTGTATCACATATCATAAAATCAACTTGATATCACGGTTAATGTGGACCCTGATCACCTGACTCTGTCAGGTTTCTCCATTGGAAAGGTCTTCTTTTTGTTTTCCCCCTTTTCATACTATATTCTTAGGAAGGAAGTCACTAGGCATAGCCCAAGCCTGAGGAAAGGGGGGTTATGTTCTACCTCAAGAGCAGAGTATCTACATAATTTATTTAGAATTCTTCTACACAGGAGATTTGTCTCTTATTTATTTATTTATTCAATTATTTATTTACATCAGTATGGATATGAGGATATTTTATATTTGAGGTTATAATCTAATACTGCATTGTTTATTTTGTTGCTTAGATTATGGCAGTTTAGATTATGAAGAACTCTGAATTGACTCCTGTGTCCCTTCGACATACCCCCATCATTGTGATTTTGGTTTGGGGGCAATTCCTTACCTTTTCTGCATTACGAGATGTTCCAGGCTCATTTCGTATGGGCCAGTCCTAGCATCAGCCTGCTCTAGCCTGTGTGAGCTTGCCCAGGAGTCAGTAATTTCTTCAAGGAGTTCTGGTCCTTTTATTGGTATTAGGAACTAAACATCTGGGTGCCAAGTGTGCTCTTTCCTTCTGGATGTCTTTGTTTCTAGGCTTTCTCAGCTGACAGAACTGGGAAATATATGTGTGTACAGTAACTCTTGTAAATTCACATACCTAAGTATTTCCATATATAGTCATCTGTATCTTCATTGAACTAAACGTGAGTTCATACTCTCTCTCCATTTTAATCCATTAACACATGGATCACTCTAGCCTTCTCTTGCTTTTCTATAACCCCCCATTTCAATGGTGAGAAACCTGGCGCCCACCATCAGCCATCCGTTAGCTTAATTGTTCGATTCCAGTAATCATGTATAGCAGTATCGGAATTGTTCACCCATACCTCCAAGGGAAGCAACTTTATAACTGGAGAACAGTGGTTATGATCAATTCCTTTTGATTTTAGTCTTAAAGACTCTGCTCATTTCAAAAATTACTTAGGTGAGCCCTTTTACCTCCCACCCTTTCGGTAAGGTTGTTTATTTATACATTTATATTTCTTTTATCACATTCTATTCCGTTTAGGATCCCTCAGGCTTTCAAGTGATTTTTTAAAGAAATTTGCTTAGGTTAAGGTTCACTCTTGGTGCTCTAAAATTCTATAGGTTTTGACAAATTCATAGTGTCATGAGTCTGCCACTACAATATCATGAAGAGTAGTTAAACCACTCTTGAAAAGTGCCCGTATGCTTCATCTGTTTAACCCTCCCCCTGACCTTGCACAGCCTCTGGCAACCACTGATCTGCTTACAGTCTGAAAGCTGATTTTTAGAATTTATTTTTTAATGTGATTTGATCAAAAGGACTTCTTCCCCTTATATATTTTAAAATATATACTTTCCTTTAAAGCAAACTTTTTTCTTTTTAGATCTCTTGGAGCACTTTTAAATCAGAAGCAGCTTCAATACATTATAGCCAAATAAACCATTTCTCACCACCTGGAAAAAAATTAGATGTGGCTAAGAAATCAGTAAAGGACACTGAAGAAGAACGTTCTAAACAGGAAGATGACATAGGAGCCCTGGAGACAGAACTGGTTGATTTAGATGGTGCATGGAGAAGTTTTGAAAAACAGATTGAGAAAGAAATGGTAAGTAAATTACGAGACTTAGAACTGGAAGACGGTAAGGTGAAAAAGTCAATATATGGGAAATCTTTTGTACCTATTGTTTCAACTTATCCTTTTAATTAGAAAAAATGTAAACGATTTTCTCTCTTTCTGATATTTTAAGAGATTTTCCTCAGAATATAAATTATGGGGATTTAGATTTTTTTTCCTATACACAGAATCTGAATTTATTCTTCAGACTAAAGTATTTTTTATAAGATTAGATGGCATTATAACATTTATAAGTGAAAGTCTAGAAAATACTTCAACAAGGTTACATGATGTCATTTTGTTATATAAAAGTTAGGTAATTAAGTTATTTAAGGTAATTATTTTTTTATCTCGTGATATTATAAAAACTTAAAGGTCAGATATATGTGGCTTTGAAGAGACATCATTTAATTGACAGGAGGGAATTTGATTACTTAAGGTCATTTAAAATGTTCAGTGATAAATTAATATCCAATTTAGTATATGGTATTTAATTATAATAAATCAATAGTAAATATCCAAATATCATAATTGAGAGTTCTAAATATTTTCTCAGCTAAATTTTTATCATTTATCTCTTTCAGTAATTTCATGATTATCCTTTAGCATATTATATATACTAAAATAATAGTGACTGTATAAAGAGGACAAAGATATCATTGTCTCTAGATTTCCCTTTCTGTTAAGATTTTCTGACAGAAACATTATTATAGGGTTTCTTTTGAATACCTTTTTGCTCTATAGAAGCAGTTTTAAATAAAGAGGGTTTTCTATGATGTTCACATTAGATTACCTGGGTAAAATGGCCAATTATGATCCAATGTATATGAAATTAGCTTTTGATAAGATTAATTATCTTTTAGTATAATACAAAGAATTTCCTGTCATGTTTCTATAAGTGAGTTAGCAATGTTTCAATGCTGTTTATACAGCAGGATCGTTATAGCGAACTTAAGGAAGAAGAACGAACGAAAGCAGCTATAACGATCCAACAACTGGAAAAACTGCAGTGGGAACAGAAGGCGGAGGAAGAAAGAATGGCGTTTGAAAAGAGGAGGCATGGTGAAGTTCAGGTACCTCAGTTTGTGCAGTGATGATTTGGAATTATCCTCAGTGACATTTTATTCCCTTTTGGTAGTAACATTTCAATATGTAAATGGATTTACATAAAACATAAGCAATTAAATAATTTCTGGATTATCTGTTACACTGATTAGTATTATTTAGGTGATCTTTTATGTTTCAAATATATTTGTCTGCCTTCCCCCACTACAGTGTACATTCTATGAGAGCAGGGATGTTTGTCTGTTTTATTCATTGATCCATCTCAAGCACCTAGAATAGTTCCTTTTCCACAGCTGATAGTCAATAAATATTTGTTGGATTACTGTATTTTACAGCTGAGGGGATCAAAACAGAAAATGACTAAACTAACTTGACTAAGGTAATAAGTGGAGGAATTGGGATTTCATTCCAAACGCGTTGTCTTCAGAGTGCATCTCCTTCACCTTATTGTACACTGTCTCATTTAGTCTTTGTGACTTGGCAGATGAAACTACAAATATGGAAGTTGCAGTGTATGATAGTCCTGTGAGTAGAAGAGGTGGCATTTTGTGTCAGGAGAAAAACAAAGATAGTCACATAGCAGGAAATATTTTTAAAATATTTGTATAATTGTATCATTTGTATCTCATTATAAGTTCTATAGTTATCTATAGCACAAAGCCTTCCCTTGCTCTCATTTTCTCCCCACTCCACTCCAAAAAAGAGACAAAAATAATTTCATCCTCATATAAGTATCCATTGTTCTTAATCTGTATCTGTCTACGGGCTTTTGGAGTACCCATTGTTCTTAATCTGTAACTATCTAAGGGCTTTTATAAGATTGCACAGAATTTACAATTAACTGGTACAGCTCTGCTAGACTGGAAGCTTCGTCAAGGCAGGATTCATAATGATGTCCATTGTAAACCTTGCACTGAGTACATGTCAATGAGTGTCGGTTGAACGGCTGTTGCCTTGTGAATATAAAAAAGAAATCGTGCCGGCCCGTGGCTCACTCGGGAGAGTGTGGTGCTGATAACACCAAGGCCTCGGGTTCGGATCCCATATAGGGATGGCCGGTTTGCTCACTGAGTGAGCGTGGTGCTGACAACACCAAGTCAAGGGTTAAGATCCCCTTACTGGTCATCTTTTTTAAAAAAGAAAAAGAAATAACATGCTGAGGTGGAGAGAGATGGGGAAGAGCTGTACCCAAACTGAGTTCCCACAGGACCGATGACTCCCTTCACAGATAGGAGGGTCTGTCACTTTCCACAGGTCCCAAGATCTCTGGCGCTGAGCAATAGTTGGTTTTCTCAGACAACTAGCATGATCACACAGCATCTCAAGTCCAGAATGCCGAGTACCAGGGTAGTCTGATTATCCCACATTATGTGTCCAGCAGAGCACCCAGGTCCTGACACACCCCCTGTGGGATGGTGAGAGCAAATGGAACCCACGCCTTCTCTTCTCTTGTTGACCCTGGTCTTTTAGATTTTTCTCCAGTAAATCCTACTCTTCCACCTAAGCCAAGTCTGAAATTTGTCCCAGGCCCTTAGGTCACCACCTAAGAGACCCACCTGGCATGTTAAACTAATGACCGTCTAGCATGACACAGGGTCTGGGAGTGGCCAGAGTAAAGGGGCAGAAGCGCCTGTTCCCAGCTGGCTGAGCTTGGTCCTCTCCTCATTGACGACTCTTGCTCTTCCCTCTCTGGATGGAATTCTTACGTGAGATCATAGAACTTCAGTATGGGAACTCTACTTTCAACGCGTGTGAGTTCCTACAGCAAAAGAGCTGTCTCGCTCATTTTTATAACTGTGGCACCTTGCGTAGTGGAGGTTTGTTCAGTGCATTTGTGTGATAAGTGAGTAAAACAGGATAATTATCTTGAAATATGTTTGTCTTTTTCCACTTGAAAAGTGTTGTATTCTCTTTCCCGGTGGTACACTGAAAAGAATTGTGGTTTTAATTTCATACACTCCTGGTTTTATATCATTTAGTAATGGAGTAAAACAGATCAACGTTGCTATAGTACACAGGGTGAATTAGATGTGGGAAGGCTTAAAACATGAAACAAATCGGAGATTACCACATTACTGGATTTAATGATAAAACGAATAGAGCAAGACATTTGTGAAGTCCTTTCCCCATAAGTCTATTAGTTGTCCTATAAGTGGTTTAACATTAAACCGCACTACTGTCATTACTTGTCTCTTTCCCACCAGACATTACTCCTTGAAGGCAAGAACTCTGTCCTGTTCATTATTGTATCTCCAGGTCCTACCCCATGGTAGCCAGTGAATAAATATTTATTGAATGAATTAGTTTGAGGGACAGATAAAAACTGTGTAGATATTTTAAAATAATCCTCCTGGACTTTGAAGCTACAAGAGTGAATTACCTGGAGATCAAAAATCCAGCAAATGGTGGAGTCAAGATTTGAACCCTGATCTGTGCAACTTCAAAGCTCTATACCAGACTGCCTTTTTAAACTTAAAATTTGCTCTCATAAATATTTTCATATATTTATATTTGATGTATTTCAAATTTATAACCACTTACAATGTTATAGTAAGTTTTAGGCATGTAATTTAACTGGGGTGGAATTGCTGTAATTGATTTCAGGTTTCCTTTCATATTTCAGGGAAATCTGAAACAAATAAAAGAACGAATAGAAGATCATAAAAAACGAATAGAGAAGGTGGAGGAGGATACAAAGACATGCATGTAGGTAGAGTAAAAAAAAACACTCAGCTTTCTTACCTCTCAAGTGTCTGGTTATTTCTGTCCATCAAATGAATGCTCCCACTGTTATAAAGTTCTCACTCCTCGACTCTTTTCTTTGTTTCCTCCATTGCTTTTCATTTCATTGTAGA